CAACTAATTGAGAATACTTGCCCTATGTTAAAAATATTAAGTTAAAACAGAGTTAAAACCTGATCATGTTTAGAAAATGCAGTTAGCAATTATGTTCCCAAATTCATTACTAAATGTTAAAATGTATTGTTTAAAAGTGTGCTAAAACCAGATCTACTGATCAGTGATGTCTCCCCTTTTTGATAAAAGCTAAGATAAAGTAATATGATTCAAATGTAGTTAAAAACTTAAGTTCAAAATAAATATATGAAAATAGACTTTACTTTTGTAAAGTAAATGTCATTTGCTAGTACAATAAACCTATACATTATAAATCACTGTACTATAGTAATGCAAAACTGTTTAAAAAAAGGTCTTCAACAAACAGTTTACTGACATGAGCAGGTTAAAAATATAGATTATTTAATTTGGGAGTATGATATTATTATAATTATTATTTATTAATATAAATTAGAACTTTCATTTACTAACAGGAACATTATTTGTTTACAAGTGGCGTTTAAAAAACAGTTTAGTTACATAGAAAATGTATGTTTCTGTTCTCTTTTAGAGGTTTTTTATATGATTTTAAGCTGTAAATAAGCCATGACAGATAATCTCCCTCCTCTGGACCCTGATTACCCGGCCGGAATCTTTCCGTACTGTAGTCTCCTCAAACCTGCATATTTCCCTGGAGTCTCCACTAGGGTTGGGCGATATGGGCCTCAGCATGTATCACGATTTTTGTTGGTATGTATCACGATATGACGATATGATAATTTTAACAAAGCCTCATATAAAAGCTATAAAAACTTAGCACTGATAATTTTAAACACACTTGCCTCAAAGTGCATTTACTGATTTATTGGCAGCAAAATGTGTAATACAGCTATTGTATATAAAACGTATTAACAAAACTGAATTGTAGAGAATTCTGTTTTGTACATACTGAAAATTGCAGGCAACATGTAATAAAGGTGAACATTTGTAATTTGTAAAATTATATAAAAGTTTGTCCTTTGTAATATAAAGGGTGTAGCATTATCAAATAATTATTTGATCACTTTGGCTTATGTTTCCTAATCCCAATATAGTCAAAATGATCAAATACTGTATATATTTTTTGTATCCTTTTGCGTTTCTATAATTATGTAATTATAACTTATTTGTAATTATATTGCAATGTAGACAAACACATCCATTGAAGTAAAATGAATGACAGTAAACAGTAAATAAAGCTTACCAATGGCACTATGAGAGAGAGAGAGAGAGAGTGAGTGTCCGAAGCAAGCCACTCGAGTCCAGTTGTTGCAGCTGCTTTCACAACATTAGATCCACTGTCGATAGTTACAATTGCTTCTTTTTATCTAGTTCCCAAACTACTCCCATATGTTTGAGGTAGCTCCGCGTTTTGGCACAATGTCTTCTACAATCTGCATGTCTTCACCACGGTCTTCACCGCCGCCCTCAGCCATGTTTGCTCTCTGCTCTGTTGTTGTTGTCCCTGCACGCCGCTCTGCTACACGTGTCGCGCAGATGCGTCATCAAAGTGCGCCGCACACAAACGTGTCTTCCGCTCGCTGTTTTCAGTGTTAAATGATTGTTTTTCACCGGTATAAGGCATTTCATTTACTTATACCGGTATACCGGTACAAAAAAAATATTGCCCAACCCTAGTCTCCACTTTACTAAGACTGTGTTGATTTCATTCATTCAGCTGTGATTTGCACTGATAGACAATAATTAATGCATTTAATTGAACTTGATCAAATCTACATTTATTTTTGTTTCATGCGTAATATCGGTGTATTTGGCCCGCGGCCGACTGGCAAATTTTTACTTTGGCCCTTGGAAGCAAAAGGTTTGGGCACCCCTGTTATAGATCCATGGCTAAGACGCATCCCCCCGACCCTTCTGTCCAAAACACTCATTCAAACTCAGTCTATCCCGTGTTAGTCACATCCATGTTCCACCTCCGAACGCACACGTCTTCTGTGAGTAGACTGACGGCGGGAGAGAACGAGAGAGGGCCTCACTTTACCGCCTGATCCAAATGAAAACAAACAGATTAATTGAAGGGACTTGACCGCGGCGCTGAGTGTAATTCTGCGACGCTTAAACACTTCCTGAACAGAGCCATAAGAGCCACTCCAGGAGCCGTCCCCATCTCTCTGATTACAGCCTGCTCTGCATCGCACCAGAGAGAGGCTGAGGGAGAGAGACCACGGTTAAAACACAGAGAGAGGCTGAGGGAGAGAGACCACGGTTAAAACACAGAGAGAGGCTGAGGGAGAGAGACCACGGTTAAAACACAGAGAGAGACACACACACACACAGAGACACAGGCTGGAAATAGAGTCTGGTGTCAGTTTGGAACCGGGGGGGCTGGTCCCGGGGGGCTGGTCCCGGGGGGCTGGTCCCGGGGGGCTGGTCCCGGCTCAAAAGTGGCCAAAATGACGTGCGCTGACATGCTGCAATACCACCCCGGGCCTGTGGGGGTCGACCCGGAATAAGAATTAGCCAATCCACATGTGTGTCAATGCTGAGTGTTCTGGACCAGTCTAGTTTAGTCGCTGTGGACTTTCTGTTTATCTCTACAGTCTACAGTAGGTCCCATTTCGTTTTGTCGTCTTCATTCACGCTTTTTGGGAATCACGCAGCTGCGTGAAAAATAGTACATCTTATCGCCACAAGGTGGCAGGTTAAGTCCGCTTTAGCTCTGCCAGCGACTTAGACGCTCAGGTATGATACTGCGTGCAAACCTGTCTATCCCAGTGATGCTATGTTAGCCGAATGGTTAACATTGAAGGCTGGGACCTGGAGAACCCAGGTTCGATTCTTGTCTGAGGCAATTTTGGTTGCACATCTTTTGGTTGCTTGTGTGCAATTACGTAACGTTATCAGATTGTTATCTTCTTTCCTTGTCAAAAGGAAATGTGTAAAATTGGCTGTGTGTTCAAGCCGTGCATGTGAATGTATATGTGTTGTTATTGAATGCTTTTTCAAAGTACAGTAGGTCCCATTTCGTTTTGTCGCCTTTCACGCGTGAATCACACGAGACTTACGTGTGATTCACGCGTCTTTTATTTTCCCCCCCCCCAGTGACGTTGCAATGACCAAAACAACCACCAGGTGGCACTTGTGAGCAGGGTTACATTGGCGTCTCATCGCTCTTTCTTCTCTCTTCACCGGACAACTATCTGTGGCTTTAAGCCTAGCGTACTGTACATCGGACTTATATCCGTCGCCTATGAGTTTCTGCCCCGCGCACATCGACAATCTGGTTAAAACGGGCAACTCCTTGTAGCAGGCCAGTCTCTGGAATAACCCGCAGACGGGCGGCACGGTGGCTGAGTGGATAGCACTCTCGCCTCTCAGCAAGAAGGTCCTGGGTTCGAATCCCGGTCGGACCAGGGCCTTTCTGAGTGGAGTTTGCATGTTCTCCCCGTGTCTGCGTAGATTTCCTCCGGGTGCTCCAGTTTCCCCTACCACTAAAAATATGTCCAATAGTTCTGGCATGTGCCTCCTGTACTGGCCCCGCTCCCATCTCTGTGTGGAGTGAGACTAATGCCCAAAAATAACAATTGTAAACCGCTTTGAGACTCAGATCTGCAGTGAAAAGGCGGTATATAAATAAATACTTACTTACTTACTTACTTACATTAAAACTACTTCATATAACGTAAACTTTTGCATCACGTTGGTGATCTTTCCAAAAAGAGAGAATATCGTTATGGAAAGAGAAACTATTGGTAATATAACGCTGAACGTTATCTGACTCAAACAGCTCCGCTGGTGTCTCCTCCCACTCAGAAAAAAAGCAGACGCCTTTTCTCTGGCATCTCTAACATTTATAATAAATACATAAATATAACAAGAAGATGCTTTCAAATAATTTAGCAAGCTGTAATTCATTTATTTTAACTCCCTGCCAAACTTCTCTCGCTGCTCTCTCCTCCGCAAACCACTAAATGAGGAAAAGGGAATATTCACTCAATCTATTTTGAATGTTACACATACAATATTAATTTAGTCTAAGCACGTGTAACACCTGTAGCCCGTGTATTTACCACAGACTGTAAGTATTAAAGTAATGAGGCCCCTGCTTTAGGCCTCTGCTGTGAGGCCTTAATGTACCTACCAGTAGCGGCGCCAGGTTTGCAATTTTGGGTAGGCCTGCAGATTAGTAAGTAGGCCAAATTCGCTCGCAAACTTCAAAGGCTAGCTGGAATTAGGGTTTCAAAGAATATGGCTCAAACGCACACACGCACGCACACGCACTCACGCGCGCACTTACACACAAGCTAATTTATGAAACTTGCGTAGAAAAAGGTGTACATTTTGGGTGTATATTCCATTTACGCAAAATCCACTGTCGGATTTATGAACATGTGAGATCCGCCCAGATCTGAGCGTATGCAGCTGCGGGTGTTGATAAATCGACTGAGGCCCTGTCTACACGTAGCAGGGCATTTATAAATCCGCCCTCCGCCTAAAAAAAAACTTCTGTCCACACAGCCTCGGTTTTTAAAAAAACGGCATCCACACCTAACCGCATACATGCGTTGTCAATTACATTTCAAACCTACAGGCGGCAGTAGTTCCCCAAATTCTATCCAATTACAGCTAGTCTCCGTCCTTGACGTCACTTCCGCAAAACATGAAACATGGCGCCAGGCTCGTTCGTGTGGACTGACAAGGAGGCAGAATTGCTCCTAAACGTACTTTTAGAGTACAAGGTCAACAAGACACAAGAAAACATTGATTGGGAATCTTGCCAAAACAAGTATGTGGACTTATTGACTCTATATTTGGAGCATTATCCCGCGGAGACCTCCAATGACTTTCCCCATGGAAACGGAGAGCTAACTCGGGCTATCCTGACAACAAAAATAAAGGCCATCAGGAGCAAATATCGCCAGGCAATTGACAGTGGACGCAAAAGCGGGTATGGCAGAGTCGTTCACCTTTATTTTGAGTTATGTGAACAAATAGGGGGTGGGTCCCCCGCCACTACAACCATGTCGTCGGGCATTGAAACAAATGACTTGGATGATAGCCTCCCCGCTCCCTCGCCTTCTACGTCCGCTACTACGGAGCCATCTGATGCCGCGTCGGACACCGAGCAGGAGAGTGGGGCACACACAGTCAAACAGAGGAGAGATCTGCTACAGGTATGTTTTTGCATTGGTTAATTATAAACTATACGTTTTGTTTAGCAGTGTTTGTAAAATGGAAAAAAAAAATATTACTTGTTGGTAAAACGGGTCATAATAAAGTCAAACGTTTTACAAGATTTCCTTTGGTCACTTCTGTTATTTTTTTATTTAGGCTAAACTGAATGGACACCGGCATGACCGTCTCAAGAGGAAGCTGCCAGCTGAGACCCAGTGGCTTAATGCACTAGAAGAGGACCAACGCGTAAAGAAGAAATTGGTGGACATTATGGAAAACTCAGAAAAAAAAGCAAATGACAATTTTGCAAAAATTACAAATACACTCAACATACTCACTACTTCCATTGCTGACGGGTTTTCTCTTCTAAGACAAGTCATGCAGCCACCTCCTACACAACCATTACATTACATGCCACATGAAGCAAGAGGGCACATTTCACCCACACCATCTCTGCAATCAATCCACCCAAATCAACCATTTCAGTCTTTCACAAACAACTCACCTTCTCTTAGAGCAACACAACAAAATGCAAACAGATCCATCAACACACACGATGCAGCACATTCCAACACACCTACTGACAGCACAGGGTTTATTGGGTTTTCCTATACCAAAGCCCTATTCAATGAGGATTAATAAGCTGTCAGCACCTGTTAACAGGCATAAGCCCTTTTCAATGATTACGTTCTTATTAATGTACAGGCATTAAGTTTAATGTGTAAAATGCCAAATGTTTATTTGTTGGCAAATAAGGCGGCACTCAAATCTTTTGAGGTTATTTTATTAACACTTTTATTTAAGCAGGGCATTTGAATGCTGTGATATGTTTGCACTGTTATATTTGCACTAAACTCAAAATACCTCTTTCTCAAAGTTTTATATACCTTTTTATTTTTATTTAAACATATATTTGTGTTGAAATGTTCAGTGACGAGCACAATTAATGCTTTTTCAAAAGACAATTAAACGACTTTGCTATGAAATGTGTGCAGTATCAATGCAACATATGAACATACTGCATAACGTAAAAACAGCAGCTTGCAAAATGATGCCACTCTACAAGGGTAACGTATTACAAAAGTAAAAAGTTAAAATACTGTACAATAGTCATTACAACTCAAGTAACGAGTTACAAGTGCATTTAAATGGTTTGTATTCATGTATGAATGAAAAAATGCCACAAAATATAGTAACAAATCAAGTTTAACACTAAGATGTGCAGTTGCGTGTAGGAAACGTCAAAACAAAACAGAGAATGAGCAGAATGAAAGAAAAATAAATCTTTGACTGCACTTTTCTTCAGTAGCATCAGTACTATTGTCAGTTTAGATTTTGCCAAAAGAAACTCAAAGTAGTCTAACTCAGCTACATTTTTTAAACAGAAATATGTAAAACAAACATAATTTTTTTTAACTACAAACATAGTGTACTATTTTTCAGTAACTTGCCCAACACAGAGGCTGCCGTAGGCCATCAGTAGTCTTTCTACTTGTCCCTTTTATGGATCCAGGTACTGAGTGAGGACTCTCCTGACCCTCTTCCCTTCAGTTGTCAAACGGTCTCCTCTGACATCTGGTTCTGAGGCTGGCTGATAGTCTCTGTCATGCTGAACAGCTTCAGTAACATAGCTGTCATCTACTGGGTCTTTCAAAGCCTCACAGTAATTATGCAGCACGAAACATGAATAAATGACAAAGGGCAGATCGTGAAGATTTATGTCCATAGGTCTCCTCAAAGCTCCAAAACGGGCCTTCAGCCTTCCAAATGCACATTCTATGACCATGCGTGCTCTGCACAGAGATAGTCCAAAATACTGCTCCTGGACAGTGCTTCCTCCGTTTGCATACTCTTTCATTAGGTAAGGCAGTAAGGGGTACGCAGGGTCGCCCAAAATGTATACTGGGATGGGTGCTTCATTCTCAACAACTTGTTTAGGACATGGAGGTATTGTTCCACTTTTGAAAATGTTATTGAGGGTCGAGTTGGCAAAAACACGAGCATCATGGACGCTTCCAGGCCATTTAACCACCACGTCCATGAAGCAGTATTTATAGTCACAAGTGGCCTGAATGTTTAAAGAAAAATTCCCCTTTCTGTTAATGTAATCTGTGGAATTAGCCGATGGTTGCTTAATTCCAATATGAGTGCCATCGACAGCACCTAAGCACTGGGGGAGGCCATGGGATTGTTCAAATTTCTCCACAAGTGTCTGCACCGCACATTCACTTTTTGGCAGCTGTATGAACTGGGGTCCCAAGTGCACAGTTATAGCTTTACAGACCTGCCTAACTATGTTTGAGACAACCTGCCTCGATAAACCAAATGCATTTGCCGTTTTTCGTAATCTTCCCTCGTCAGATAAATAGTACAGCGTGCAAGCAACTTTCTTGACGACACTGACCGGCGATCGCATGACAGTGGACTGTCCTTCTATGTGAGGAAGTAATAACTCCGACAACGACAGCAGTGAGGACCGTGACATTCTGAAATTGTCTCGCCATTCCTCCGGGAGGACGACTTCCATCTCAAAGTTCTCCCACCAGCTGGCAGTGCGTCCCGGTCTGACCCAAAATCGCCGTTGCCGTCTTTGACGAGGAACATGTCTTGGACGAGGGATGGTTATTTGGCGGAAAATAGCCGACCTTAAAGTGCTCCTTCGTCTGTGCTCTTCAACGTGAAGCAGTATTTGAGCTTGTAAAAACAAGCAAGCAAAAAGTGCCTGAACAATCGTTAAAACAAAAGCGGTTTTGATGGCCTCCATGTTGTTTCTGATGTAAACACAGGTCGCGCGTGTGACGTCAGAGCAGCACGCTGGTAGTGACGTACAGCCGAATACTCCGGTTATTTATGTCCACACTCAAACGCATAACCGGAGAATTCCCAAATCTTCACTTTGGCCGGAGTTTTCAGAAACCTTTGTTTTTATCGACAGAAAACTCCGGGTTTGTGTGGATGATAGGCCAGATCGTAGGAAAATATCTTCGGTTTGTGAGATACCCTGCTACGTGTAGACGGGGCCTGAATACGAAAATATTTATGAAAGTCACACCTAGAATTATGCAGCAATCGCGTGTTTCACGCCCCGTCTTCGTGACAGGTCAGCAGGAAGCCGGCCTAAAAGACTGTTTGGAAGCCTCAAAAGGGACGTTTGTTTGTTCATGTTTATGTAAAAATAAATATACTCTATATATTCAGCTGCGTTTTGAACAAATTTGCTAAATGTTTTGATACATTAGAAAAATCTCTCTTGAATTGTAGAAGTGAATAAATATAGATTGATTGAATGAATGAATTAATTCATATATATTATGCAGCGGTGGCTCTGAATGAAGCGTCTGCAGTGTCTTGGACGCAGCCTGGCTCGGGGTAGAAGTGCGCATTGAAGCGCTGTACACTTCAGAGAGCGTTTGCGGTCCAGATTTCACAAAGAAACTCTGGAGCCAAAACTTCTGCACATGTGGCGCGACCTCTCACGGCACTCGCTGCGCACTCTGGACAGGGCAGTGAGACATTTGTGAGTGAGCAATACCATCGATGCGTTATTGGGGTGTGTGTCTGTGTGAGGGTTACACAAATCTAATGAAATAACACATTGCTTTAGATGTGAATGAGGAATACAAATAGCCGTGCGTAATTACGCAGCGCAGAGCCTGCCACAGCAATAGATGGGTCACACATCCCTGTTGCGTAAAGTGTATTTATATGGAGCCTTTCACAGGATCACAAAGCGCTTCACATTTTAAAACATACAGATCAAAATAATACACACACAAGTCAGATTTAATAGAGGGTCCTCATCATGAGCTGTGATTTATTCGAAGTTTGCGTGTTTCCATTAGACTTTTTCTGAGGCTCCTGTGGACTCAGCACCTGCAGGAGGATCAGTGAGGGGCTGGTGCTCTGTGGACTGGGTGCAGCTCTGACTGCCACCCCCCCGACCCAGAAATGGATTAAGGGGAAGAAAATGGATGGATGGATGGATTTTTCTGATGCGCAAATTAAAATTTTGAAACATGATCCTCAATGAAAACACAGCATATAATTTTGCCAGAGGGAATATGTTTATTGTTGTCCATATCTTGAATTTCATGCGTGTTTTGGCGTGTTGTGCCGAAGGTTGAGATCAGCGTATAGATTTACACCACCTCCAGACCTGCCGTATATTTTGTGCGTATTGTACGCTCACGTCCAGATAGATAAATGCGGAAAAGTGTAATATTTTGCGTACGCCTCATTTACCTTGATTTGTCCGTACGCAGGTTTCATACATGAGGCCCACAGTGAGGCCCACAGTGAGGCCCACACAGGCCTAGAGTTTACCTCATCAGTGCGAGGTGAGCCTGGCCTGACTGCTCTCTCCTCCTCTGGGACCTACGGGCCCGGGCCTCTGGCTACTCTACCTCACAAAGTTCACGCTGAACTGTCTTAAAACTAAAATGAAAAAGGCTGCTCTTTTGTGAATGTTTTGAGAGCGTTGTCAATCTTTAAGACGAGGAATAGCTGGTTGCTCTCGGGAACGAGCTTCACGCTGTGTGATATGATCATGCAGATTATTGGACAAAATTGTTCAGCCAATAAACAGGACTATATTTGAAGCAACGTAGGAACGTGATGATGCTCAGGGGGTTATATTTTCTTAAAACATTAGAACGCAACATTTAGGCATTAGCAATAATTTGTGTATAAAAATAACAATATTTAAATTATGACTTTTAATAAAAAAAGCTAATGACTTGAGAGGCGAAAAACAAATTTGAGTAGGCCAAGAAAAAAACTGGTAGGCACCGGCCTACCCGGGCCTATCCCTGCCGCCGCGGCTGGTACCTACTTTGCATATGAATGCAGCGAAACACTGCGGCCGGCCTAGAGCTAATGGCCCTAATTAGCATATGAATGCAGCAGCATTGGCGGATACCACTACTTTCAAACTCGTGATTGGCTGAAAAATCACACGTGGCCAGCCCACGTGGGATTACTCCCCATACATAGTTCCCAC